GTGGTGACATCATCATTTGTTGTGGTGGTGGCATCATGTCAGCTGGGAAACCTGGTGCAAGAGGAAACTGATCTTCATACTGGATTTCTGACATGTTTTCAAATTCTGGATCTGGTGGTAAAGTCGGGGCAGGAGGGAGAGGCACATCTAGGCGTTCTTTACCAAAGAGACGAACTTGAGGTCGTGGAACTCGGAACGCGATATCTCCTCCTTGAACTCCAGTGTCCATCCCAAATTGATTGATAGGATCTGCATACTGGTCCCCGTATAGACCCTGTACCTGTTCCATCCCCTGTCCTCCAAAGTTCTGCACGCCCCCTGCTGGAAACCCAGCTGCTTGCGGTGCACTGTAGGCTGGGTGTGACATCCCAGCATCAGCATAGCTGAGTTGATAGTCTGGTGGAAAACCTGCCTGCATTCCCATGTTGGTCATGTAAGGGTTCTCAACAAATCCTGTCTGTCCGTCAAAGTAGCCTCCTTGGGCATCACTGAAGTAAACTCCTTGGCCGTTTTCGTCGTAAAAAGCTTGGTTCTGAGGGTCGAAGAATCCGTCAGCTGCTCCTCCGTACATGTGGTCTTCACCCATTAGTGTATAATAGTCCAGACCCTCATCCCCGTACATGGCCATTGGCTGTTCCTGGTATCCGTAGGGGTCGGCATAGGGGTTATAGTAGTCCTCCATACCTTCATTATAAAGGCCGTCTTCATAATACTGTAGATTTGGGTCATACAGTTCATCTTCCTCATAATATCCCAGGTCTTGATAGTCTTGAACCTCCCCTGTATCATAGTCATAGTAATCAAACTGACCCTGACCATCGTAAGGCAGAGCGCCCTCTTCCCCGTAGCCGCCATAATCATCGTAATAGTCTTCGTAACCTTTCGCGTGCATGGAATTATTTCCATAGCCGTAAACGTCTTCTCCGTGCTCGTAGCCATCGTTATAGTAACCATGGTGATGATGCCTGGAGCTGGACTGGCGGCCCCCCCAACCTTTGTGTTTTTGCGTTTTAGTTGACAAAAAACGTTTGGTTAGCCAATTTGTTGCGGCGGCCACTTTGCCCAGCAACAAACCGCTGTTCTTGAAATCCTCACCCGACCCAGCACCGCCCTTTCTCCTGAATAAGCCTTTAAAAAACCCCTTCTTTTCATTTCCTCCCAGACGTAAGAGCATGTAGGTGGGCTTGTTCCCATCATTTGCTTTATCTTTGGCCTCTTTTTCGTTTTTCTTCTTTTTGCTGGCCTTAAACCTCATCATGAACCGAGACGTGTTCTTTAACATTGACTTTCGCCTTTTCTTTTTAGCACTTTTTAATTTTCTCTTTCCCAAGCCCAGAAACAAGCGAGATGTACTTTTGAGCTTCTTTCTACTGGTTCTGCGCCTCTTGAAGCCAGAAAACTTCATGAACATCGTGGACATGTTCTTCAGACCCTTCTTTGGTATTTCTTTCACTGGAAGCTTTGGCGCTTCCTCTTTCTTTTTGTGTTTCTTCTTCTTGGCGTCAGCATCAGATTTGCCTCCTTTGTCTTTAGTCTTCTTCTTGGATTTGCTGTACTCCTCTTCATCGTCCTCATCCTCCTCATCCTCATCTTCCTCTGAGTCTTCATCACGTCTTGACTTCCCTCCTTTTTTTCCTTTAGCACCTTTGCCCTTCCCTCTCCTGTCATCTTCGGAGTCTTCCTCATAGTCCTCTTCATCACTAAAGTCTTCTTCCTCTTCCTCACTCAGGAGCTCATCCTCTTCCTCTGACTCTACCTTCTTGCCCTTCCCTTTGTCTTTGCCTTTTTTTCCATCATCCTTCTTCTTTGGATCTTCTTTTCCCTTCTTCCCTTTGTCATCTTTCCCTCCTTTCTTCTCATCTTTTCCTCCTTTCTTCTCATCTTTTCCTCCTTTCTTGTCATCCTTGCCTCCTTTTTTGTCATCTTTGCCTTTTTTCTCCTCCTCCTTTTTTTTCTCTGGCTCAGGTTTTGCCCCCTTCTTTGTGTCCTTTTTGGTGTCTTTTTTACTAGGCATTTTGACAAACTCCTAAAACCATCTGTGCTGTAAACCTTTGAACACAAAACGGGACAAATATGAAAAGTTACCATCGTGTTGGGGACACAGCTCTGAGTTCAACATAATCAGAGCTCTAACCTTTAACAGACTGGACTTGTCTTAGATTTCCCTGGTGTATTCTGTGCTGCAGGTGTAATCAGACTTGGTATCAGAGCGACAACAGGTCCATCGAGCCAGAGCTGTTCTATACAGTCTGAATCTGGACCCCATGGAGACTCCTGTCCAAACATAGAGAACTGCATTAGAATTGTCTCTGAAATGATAAAAGAAGGTTTGGTAGTTGTGACCCCACAGAGCACTTTTAAACTGGGTAAATATTACCTACATTACTTTTACTAATCCCTGAGCACTGATCGTTATGTTTTTAATCAAAGAAGGATTGTCTGCAAACACTGGTGTAAGGTACACAAGGAAAATCAATCCTTTGAAAGAATCGGAGAATCAACTCACGGTTGAATAGAATTCAGTTGATACAAACGTCTACAAAAAAATTGAGTTCACGTCACAAGAACTCGTTCACGTAGACCAAACGCTGCTGTCGGAGTTCTGTCTCCTGTCCTTCAGAAGTCCTGCCTCTCTCCTGCAGACGTGTAGTTACACAGAAACACTCAGCTCATCAAAACAGTTACCTGCACATTTAGTGACAAGTGAAAAACCACGGCCACGTTTCCAGGATGTCTGTGCTCTTCAGGGGAGATCTCTGTTCTGTGAAGTTAGAAACAAAGTCCAGGGTGAAGTTGGCAGATGACCTTCTGTGTCTGCAGCACTCGTCCTCCTCTCTTGGTGCACGTGTGTGTGTGTGTGTTACTGTCCCCTGTGTCCTGGTGTGTGAGCATGTGCATGTGTGTGTCTACAGCTGTATGTGTCGGCATGAACTGGAGGAGTTTCTTGTGGTGGTCATAGAAGGAGTCTTAATTTGTCAACCGGCTCTACAGGTGAAACTGGAGAGCCTGGGGCAACTAAGGGGGCGGGGCATTAATAATACAATAGGTCCAGCGAGGGAACGAGAGAGAGAGAGAGAGAGAGAGTTAAGAAGCAGGAAGAGAGCGAGAGGAAAGAAGGTAGAAAAGTCAGAAAGACAATAAAAAAGTCATAATACTTACGTTGCATCATCACCTGGTTATTACAGTTGATCTTATCACCTTAAATGTTTCACCTTAAAAGGTTATTTATTCATTTCATCCAAGTAAAAAACAAAAATCACTGTGTATCAGCGTTATGTCTAAAAATAAACACAGCTGCGATGGAAATAGATCAGTGTGTTCAGAGCAGAGGTAAGAGCAGGGGAGGCAGCAGAAACAGAGAGAGTTTTGATGTGTGTGAGTGTCTCACACACACACACTCACACACACACACACACTGTGTGGGATCAGTAACAGGGCTTTGATTATAAGTGCCATCAACCAAATTATTTCTCTTCCTCAGGGAAGGGGTCGGATTGCCGGATCTGTTCTGTCACAGAGTGAAGGTGTTGAGTTGCCAGATCTTGATCTTTTGGTTTTGGTGTGTGTCGCTCTCGCTCTCTCTCTCTCTGTGTGTGTGTGTGTATTAACCAGCACTCTCTCTGGTGTGTATGCAGAGTCATGCAGAGTCATGTGTGTGTGTGTGGTTGCACATATACGTTACATGGAGGGTGTTTTTCTGATGAGCACATGCTGTGTGTGTGTGTGTCAGTGTGTCAGTGTGTGTGTGTGTGTGTGTGTGTGTGTGGTCCCCTCCAGCAGAATGAAACAGTTCTGATAAACATGGAGTGAAATAAAGCAGAGACTTCATCTTCCTTCAGTGATCGTTGGTGACAGTCCTTCATGGTTTAACACAGTCTGTAGTCAGATATATGTGTGTGTGTGTGTGTGTGTGTGTGTGTGTGTCCCACAGAGATAAACAGACAGATGCAGACACCCACACACACACACACATGAAATCTGCTGCTATCTAGTGGCGCAGTGTTCCATCTGCACCACTCTGTCGTAGTCGTTGACCAGGGTCAGTAAATGCTGCCCTGTAACCACCCCCCCCACCCCCCACTACTGATCTGCATGATTCAACAGTCCTAACAACAGGTGGCGCTGTGGTGCTGCAGGTAAACAAACTGGGGGGTAACGACTTAGCAGGAACAACAGACTACACTATCGCCCCCCAGGGAAAAGAACAGTAACTACATGCTGATATAATTCAATAACTTTTTAAAATGTATTTTTAATTGTAGTTTTCTTCAAATATTTATTATTTTGGTTGATTTATAATGATTTGCATCTTAATTATTCAATCCAGTCCAGTCCGTTTTATTGAATGAAGGGAATGTGAGATGTGATGTTTGATGTTTTACTGCTTGAATGACTGTTTTACCATGAAGAGGCTGTAATGAGTGGATTTAAAGTGTAAAACAACAACAATATCAAACAGAATCTTCACAGGATCCGTCACTTACCAAACACGTCCAAACACGTCACTGCTGGTTCTGTCGTTTCTACTGCTCCAGGACACAGTCACGTCCAAATCATTGTGGTGGAAACTCCTCTCAGGAACGACTCAGTATTTTGTTAAAAAGCTTTATAGTTGTGTTTGTTGAAGGGAGATGTCAAGTTTGGAGTTTCCTCCCGGTGAACCAACCTGTGAAGCTCCACAGGTCACTACGGCTCCAGTCAAACCTCTCCATCACCTCCGGGGACTGGAGTTAAAATACACCGAAAAGAAGCGAAAGTTGAAAAAAACAACAAAACCGTCTTGACGTGTTTTCATACTGACTACCACCTTCAGTGCTGTCCGTCGCGGCTGCTCCTCTGGGGGCTCTGGGAGCAGCAGGGGTCGGTGTCGGGAGGCAGAAAAGACGGCGGGAACGGGAGGATGAATATTTAACGAACGCCATTATTCAGAGCGCGGCCCGGGCTTTAGTTCCACACAGTCCGGTGAGAAGTGACGAGCACCGCGGGTGAGCGGCGTCCGCCACGTCCTGTACTCATAAAAACACGACAAAGATGTAGTAAAGAGTCAAGACACTGACCTACTAAAAAAAAAAAATTAAAAATGTTGTCACTTTCCACTAGTCATTTCCCGCTCTTTGGCTGCTCGTTGTCCATAATGAGCTGATGTTGACGATATAACTTCTGTCGTTAACAATGTTAACGACAGAAGTTATAAATGGACCCCATAGGTAGCTGTGAAACTCCTGAAGAAATTATTTTTTTACCCGAATCACTACTGAACGTTTTATGACGTCATTGTTGAAGGTATACAGTGTTAAACCCCTCAGTATATCTGACAGTCTTACAGTCACCTTGTTGTTGTGATGTCCGTCCCACTTACAGGTGCAATCCTTATATTAAATATCCAGTTGCTAGTTGAAAGTGTTACTTGATACTATTGTAGACTGAGTCACAAAATTAGATATGCACAAAAATGCATATTTTAATATTTAACTCACTATCGAACAGGGCGTTATTTTGTGTTTACAGCGCCCCCTGGAAGAAAGTCAAACAGGATATTTTTTAGGAACACTGACCATTTTTTTTATGTTGCTAAAATAGGTTTGTGAATTTTTAGACACACAGTGTTACCAAAAATAAAATCTCTGTGATTCTTGTGACGTGAAACGACTTCTTTCCTTTTCTTTTCATTTCCTTTCTTTTTTTAACTTCAGATCCTGCATTAATGTAGTTGTCTATTTATGACGGTCCATACACAGGTCCATACACAGATAGGTCACGTGATTATATTTAGTTTTTGAGAAAGTTGACTATTTGTTAGATAAAATAAGACAGTCCCGAAGCTCAGCTCCTGTCGAGACAAACAACAAATGCATCAACTTAACTCTTAGTTCAGCTCCTCTCTCCTCTCTCCTCTCTCCTCTCTCTTCTCTCCGTCCTTCACCTGTGTCCAGCACCAAACAGATCAGGTCGTGTCCTGGAGACTTCAGTTTAACATGTC